AATAAGTATATAAGTATTGGATCATGTTTTAAAACTAAGCAAAAATACTAAAAATTATTTTGAACCTCACTAAATGTGATTCTGAAATAAAAACATGCATATTGATATGTTTTTCTAATGTTGTGCAAAGATTTAAAAAATTTAGGAATCCGATTGCCGCCACCATTATGTACTCCGCAATCGTATCAAAGCTACCGTTACCGTTGCAATAATCACCACCGTTATTTAAAGGGAGAATATGAAAAACGTGGAGGGTAGAAAAATTAATTTAAAAATGATAACAGTGTAAATCTTTATTGCATAAATTTATGTATGAATCACTTGTACTTCCATTGTTTCAAAATCATTTGGTCTACACTTGTAACGACCCCAAAATGCATATCATGATTATAATTAATTAATTAGGTGTTAAATTTTAGTTGTAATATGTATTATGTGATTTTTGAATGCCTATCTGTTGAATGTAGACATATATGTTATAAATTCTGCTATAATCTGAAATTGAGGGTCGTAAAGGTGACAGAAACCGAAATTGTTTAATTTATTGTGATCAGCATAATTTTTAGAACCTATGACGAATTTTAATTAAAAATTAATTCAGACTAAAGTAATTAGATTAAATTAATTAAACTTAAGTGAGATTGATTAACCTTAAGCATGTTTAATTAGTCTAAGCCAATTACCTAGTATATATATAAGGAAAAGTGTGATTAAGCTCAAATTTGAACTCAAAAATCTGAAAATTCATTCTAGAGAGAGAGAGAGTGAATTCACTTTTATAGAGAGAAAGCTAAAGAATTGGAAGATTAAGAAGAGAAACTCTAAGATTTACAAGAATTTGGCTTATTCAAGGCTCTAGGTAAATTTTTGAAGCTTAATTATGAACTTAAGCCATCAATTAGATCAATTCAAGAGGAATTTGTGATTAAGTGCAAGAATTGAACTAAAGATGATGAATTTAGAGTCAATTCATACATGCACGCATAGTTTTGTTTAATTTCATCATTTTGAACATGATTCATGTCATTCATGTTGGATTTAGAAGATGAATTGTACATGCATGCATAATTCACAAAGTTTTGAGAGTGAATTTCATGTTTTATGAGCTTTGGAAAAAGAATTTGAAATAATTCTACATGTACGCATGATTTTGCCATATTTTGCCATTCTTGAGTTTGAATCCTATCACCCATGATGATTTGGAAGCTAATTTACACATGCATCATTGATTTCTAAAGCTTCAAGAGTTCTACTTCATGAATTTGAGGGTTAAATCCATGTTTTGAAGAGTATGAGATAAAAGGGGTTGAAAATCTTATATGCATGAAAGTTTTGAGCTTTGATGTAGTAAATTGACCTTGAATTCATGATTTTAAAGACGTTTCTAAGTGTTGTCCAAGTGTTTTCATGAGTTTGGAATGGTCATGTAAGGTTCTACAAGTTATAATACATTTTTGCAGCTCAAACTTTGTGTTTTAAAACTCAGAAATTTCACAGACGGCTCGAGCAACCAAGTGGTGGCTTGAGCCAACATTACGAGCTCCCAGTACTTTTGCAGTCTGCATAAGTTGGCTCGAGCAACCAAAAGTTGGCTCTAGCCAACAACTTACTTACAGCATGTTTTCAAAAGACGTTTTGAGTTCATATCTTCGTTCCCATCTATTTTCGGGCATTCTTAGGCATGACTTATGAATCATTAAGGCTTAAGAAGTAAGAAACCAACATGAGTAATTGAATTAGAAAAGAAAAGAAGAATTATTCGATCCGAATATGTAGTTCAATATGAACAAGTTATGTGACATGGAATGAATAAGTAGTTAATGTAAACAAAGCTAACCCATGTTGGCCATATGAATGTACAATAATAAGACATGTTTTGTGCTATGTATGTCTGTGATTGTAGGTCAAGATTCGAAGACTGATCAACCGTTTCTGGAAGTCCACTGTGAGTAACGTTATTGTAAAGATATGTTCATGTGAATTATATTTGAAATGTTATTTGATAAGTTATAATTTCTGAAATGATATTTTGTTTAAGTGAACTAATGTCCTATTTTTGAATCTACTATGGCATCCAAAGGAAGTCCCAAGTCATGAGGGACAACATGTTAATGCGGGTCCATGACATATGTATGATTACAAGATCTCGATAGCCATTTGACAAAGTGGTGTTATGTTTGATAATTGGTCTCCAAGACTGATTACTCTAGTCGGAAGACGATATGTTATGTTTTGTTGGATGTACCATTATTATGTTCAGATATGAGAACGATTATGTTATGATTTGTTTTATGATTATGAAATGTTTGGAATTCGTTCACTAACCTCTTTACCTTAATGTTATTCACTGGGCTTTAGGTCACTGTATATATATGTATAGGTGGGTGACATGAACATCAGGCCTAAGGGCTTTTATCTGGATCTGTTTTGTCAAACCAACCTTTGTGCCTCATGTGGAGGTTTCTGAAGTGTCTAGTGTTATAAGCTCATGTGTTCGAGGATTAAGTTCTTATTTTCTTTCTGTTAATTAAGATGTTTGGACTCAAGGATAATAACAATGTTTTGTATATTGGGTTTGACCCCTACAATATGATTATGTATGTATGTATGTGTATAAAAGATGAAATTTTCTCTGTCCCATATAAGTCTGCACAACTCAATGGACAATGTATGTTTATATATTTGCTTCTACTAGCCCCTTATATTGTGATTTTGTTAAAAGGCTTTCGGTAATCTTCGAATTGTTGGCCGATCATGACTCTAAACCCATAGGAGCGGGTTTGGATTGTGACAACACTCCACTTTTTTGAAATTCTCCCTTATTTAAAACCTTGATCTTTTCACATTGATATTTAATTTTAACAAAAGAAATTTCTTCCTTACATTCTAAACATGCTGGTGTAGCACACTCTCCATTTTTTTGGATAGAAAAAATTATAACATAGCAATTTTGGCCAAAACCACATTGGAGGCATGTGGATATTTCTAAAAGGTAGAGAGATAAAGTGCTATTTGGCCATATCATTGTTGGAACAATTCCTTATCTGTATTGTGTGAAACACGTAATAATTGTATTAAATATATTATCAAATTATATATAAAAATATAAGTTGAAAACAACATAATTTGTTTGGGTAAAACCAAACCAAAACACTCACAGAGAAGTAGAAAATTTACAAAAAGATTGTATAAATCTAAAATCAAAAACAATTTTATCAGGGCTTGTGTTGAACATAATTTTCCTTAAGACAAATTTGTCTTCTGCTATGGTACTCGCGAGTTTTTATTGGACATTCATCTCCTAAGATACAACAATCGAACCTTGCAGTAGCAGCACTATTACTGCAAGTCTGGTGAACCTTACTGTGTAGAATTCTCTTACAGAAAGACATAGTGTCAAAAGGAAATGAATACAAGATGAATTCGATGATTAATGAATGCAATGTGAGTCTATTTATATAGGTGAATTGGTGACTCCTCGAATGTTTGTGATGACTTTTTGAACGAGTCACATCATTTTCCCCGAAAAAGGTGCAGCCATAACAAATATGATAGTTCTCACAAATAGGTTTGAATTTTGTATTGAATCTGGTTCAAAATATTCCCAAAAAATACAAATTTATTTAAATAAAAATTAAATTTTAAATTAAATAAAATTTTTCTTAAAACCATACTCAAATGGTGCATTTTAGAGTCAATTTCTCATTCACCTATTAATGATTTCCAAATCATTTTTCCAACAATCATAAGGGGTAAAATAAATTTTGTCACAAAATTCATTTAACAGTCTTCTTAGAGACACACCATTTTCTATCATATTTTTTATTGCCTACTCACAATAACTTCCATTGTGACTGGACAGTAAAAAAATGGGGCAAAACTAGTGTATTTAATCTTATTTTTTTCAATTTATTTAGGCCAACAATATGTTAAAAACAAACTTACAACTTATTTTACATAAAAAGCACAGTGCCATGAACAGTAGTGATTTAGCAAATGGCCTCAAAAAAATTTAAAAAGAAAAAAGAGAAAAAAAGCACACCATATTTAAGACTCCATTTTGTCCCAACTCCAGCCTCCATGAGCGCCAATCCTACATTAAAAACGTTAATATACTTAGAAGCCCTTTATTGATCATCTGCAATATTTTTAAGATTTGATTTATTTATCATTTTCATTTTTTAGTGATGGCAGAAATTTTGATAACTGCCATAAGTTTAAGATTTAATGGAAAAAAGACTTGTGATTATGGGTATCAAAATTTTGTATATTTTTTTTTGTGTGTAATTTAATGATTTTCTTTGTTATGTAGTGTAGAAGGAGAGACTTAAAAAGATATATATATATATATATATAATCAATCCTCTTTCATGAAATCACTTCTTTCAAATAAATACTCAAAATTCCTAAACTAATTTTTTTTTTTAATTTTGAATTAAAAAAATGTAAAATTACACGTGTCGTAAAATCATTGGCTCTTTCATTTTAATTATAGTTATTGGGTCCTATTATGCCAATTATGTATTGAATATGAGATGGTATATATATTGAATGTGGTATGAAAAGATAAGAAGTGTAACATTACTCATTATTTTATTTTCTCATTCCAAGACAAAAAACAAAGCGGCTCTCGTTAGTAAATGTATGTGAAATTCACTCATGTGTGTCTTGTCGAAGAATGAGAAACAAAGATAAGAAATATAATTATAGATAGAAATTTAAAATTTAAAAAAAAAAAAAAAGAAAGAAAGAAGAAGAAGAAGAAGAGGAGAAGACTTACATGCAAGAGTGGTGCAAGACTTGAAGTTGGTGAGTAGTATGCGCGATCTGCCCATGGACGCCAAATTTTGTTTAACATCTTCTACAAATTCCCACTTCATGTTTGTTAAAGTCAATTCCTTGAGGTGACTCAGCCGCTCCAATCCTTTTGACTTTTCTAGTTTTTCATAACCTCTAACTTCTAATTCTACAAGTTTGGGCATATCACCTTCCTCAACGATCTACTCCTTTAGGTTTTCTAACACCCACAATTTCAACACACGAAGTTTGGGAAATCCTCCACCAAGACAATTCATATTCTTCTCTACAAAAGAGTCAGCAAAAAGCCTGAGTATGTTCAGCTGAGGCAGACACTTCCCTAGATTCAGCATTGGATCATTTTCAATTTTCGACATTGACAGTGTCAGGGTTTTGAGGTTTTTGGGAAGGTTTCCAACCTCGAACACTCTGAACAAATATAAATTTGAGAGAGACGGATGGGTTGTTAGATTGTCAAGAATCATGAGCTTTGAAGGTTGACCGAATTGATGATCTCTTGATCTCAGCTTGAAAGTTTGAAGTTTGTTAAGTTGTGAGATGCAATCGGCTATTTTCTCCGCTAATGATCTTGAATGGCAAATCAGTCCCAATTTCCGAAGGCTGGTGAACCCATTCAAGCCGTATTCTTTGGGGTCCACAAAATCGATAAGGAGGCCTATTAAGGTCTGAATGTTTGACATTGAAGTTTGTTAGGTTTTTGTAATTGGAAATCATGTTTGACAAGACTCCTTTCAGTTGTAATTTTATTCGATCTTTTATTTCAGTGAGGCTATGAGTATTTAGATGCGAATCCAACCCGAATTGTGCCTATGCAGAGGAGTTTGTGATCTTAATCCTATTATGTTTACCACTTCGCTGATTATGTCAGGGATCGAGTGAAGATGCAATCCTTTCAGAAGTTTCAATCGCCTGCAAAAGTACTGAGAGTTGTATTTTTATGCTCGAGCGGCCTTTTTTGTTCTCGAGTGTAGATCCGTGTTCTAAAACACGCGTTTTAGTCAGACCGTTCGAGCGTCTATTCCTGCACTCGAGTGGAGATCGTGATTCCGTTTTTTATAAATTTGCGATTAATTCAGTTTCTAGGGTACGGCTTCCAGATCTTCTACTTGAGTATTAGGGTTTTCATCTGGAGCTTCCTTGCTTGTTTTCTTTGATATCTGTGAGAGTTTATATCATGAATTGAGTGGATTATATTAAAGGTTTTGTTTATTTTGTTTTATTAAAAAAAGAGAGAGTTGTTTTTCGATAGATTCTGTGAAATTTGAACCTAAAGCTTTGGTGGATTCTGGAGTGGCTTATCATCGTGGATTCAACGTTGGACAAGATAATTCTGAGGTACAGACGGTGGTGGAAGAGGCACATTGGGGTCGGTTCAATTTGGGTGTGGATTTGCTAGGTAATTGAGAGTACACTTGTGTAATTCTTTTTTGTCTTCTTAGTGGATTGTTTTGTGACTTTAGCCTATGATTTTTTTATCACAATTGGAGGAGCTCCAATTGTGATTTTTCCACGTTAAAATCATTGTGTCAATTTATCTTTGATTGTTTGATTAGGATTGCTATTTATGGGTTAAAATTGACACATAATCACAAATCAATATCTCAGGGATTTTAAAATTTTCAAAGTTGAAGACTGTTTTGATGATGATGGCTTCGAAATGGACACCTCGTTCATAAGCAGATGTCGAAGGTTCTTCGCCGTCCAAATGGAACTCGATAGATTGGTTATGTTAGTATACTTCAAATCTAAAGTCTCCAGGTTCCAAATTTTTTAGTCTCTAAAAGTGAAAATTTTGTTGCAAAAGACATTTAGGGACCAATTTCTATCGTCGTGAGGATAGTTGCTAAAAGGTCATCGCGAAAAGTAAAAAACAAGGCTTTTAGCAACAAAATTTTGAAAATGTTACTAATAAATTGACTTTTAGGGACAAAATAATTTGGTCTCAAAATGGTTTATTTTTTGAGACAAAAAATTTGGTTCCAAAAAGATAATAATTCATCACTAATGTTCAATTTTCGTTACTAAAAATATAATAACAACACTTTTCGCAACAAAAATATTTGGTACCTAAAAAATAATTTTGTCCCTAAATTCTAGTCTCTAAAACCTTAATTTTTTGTAGTGACAGTAGATTGCCAATAGATTCTGGGCATGAGTCTATACCGGTCCATCGTAAGCTTATGTACCTTAAGTTGCTCAAAAACTTGCCGAGTTTTGCATGCAGCGAAGGTCTGTGGGCACCTTCTAGATCAAGCACCTTCATCAACACAAAACCTCTAGATCTCCTCCTATTGATAATTGTTTTAAGTAACTCATTGATTTCTTCATTGGATGTACCTCTCTTTTGGGCTTTAAAACAGACATCTGATAAACAAACAATATTAGGCTGAGTAGGTGAATCATGAATTTGTATTAGGGTGATCAGTGGGTGTAACTATATTAGGCTGAGCTGATGAATGTTTATTAAGCTAAGTAGGTGAATCTACAGATGTACAATTTTCTTTGCAATGGTGGGCGTGAATAAATTCTATATCCTTAGATTTTGGAAAGAAGAAATCATGAAGTAAGCTTGGCATTCGACATGTTTTATGCCTTCCATCTTCCTTCCTCGTTGCTATTTCGATCATGTTTCTGCACACGAGTTCTTTCAAATATTTACTGGCTATATCTTTAGGTTGTTGGGTACTTGACATTTTCATAAACACCTCTGCAATCCACAATTGCAACAGCCTCCGCACTGAGCCAAGTAAAGAAAACATAGCTTCAACTTAGACCATAGCTCACGAAAACTTAAAGCTATAATATTCGAGAGAGGTGATTAATAAAGTTTTCCCAAGTCGTCTAAAAGACGATCAATTACATTGAACAACTCATTAGATTGTATAGTTGAAAACAATGGTCCGAGCAGGACAATTGCTGGAGGCAAACCGCCATATATTTTCAAAAATTTTACCTTGTAACTGTTCAATTGGTGGTGTGTATCTGTATCATAATAATGTCTGCCTACATGAAACTTGTTCAAGAACAATTCCCAGTGATGGGTGACTCCAGAGATCAACATCCGAGGCTATCTTAGAGTCGCGAGTAGTAAGGTTGACTCTGTTGCCATTGGCGACGTCTGCAAAGGGACATGCTAACATGAGCCAGACATCAAACGAGAAGACATTATCCAAGACTATTAGAAACCTGAGCTCCATTAAAGTTTGGAAATGCAGAGCAGACAGCTCGTCCACGCTCATGAGCTCTACCCCCTTCAACAACTCCATCGGAATCTGTTTGAGTAAGACAATCAACAGATCCTTGCACTCAATATTTTTTGGAACATGGAGCCAAACACGACACTTGAAATACTACGAACGTCAAGTCTGTTATAAACCTTCCTTGCCAGAGCTGTCTTACCCATAGCATCTTCGCTCACCAGAGAAATCATGCGGAGGCTTTTATCGTCGTCGTTGATTAGTCGTTCTATCAGATTCTTCTCTGACACATCTTCAAATTCAACAAGTTCATCATCATCATCATCATATCCACCATTGTTAAGTTCACCCATGTGGATAGAGGCAGCCACCATTGTTGACATTGGTTGGCAGAAATGTAGAGAAGCCACCAATTGTTGACAATGGCGGGTGAGGAGCTAGGGAGACAAGCCGTCATAGGGAGGTAGTAAGACATACCTTCACATGGGAGAAGTATGGGTTGTTATCTTTAACTCCCTCTATGTATTTGAGTTAACTTGCAAGAGGAAAAATATACAGGAAATGAAGAACACAGGTGATTTACAAGAGAGTGTATATCTCTGTAAGAGTGATAGAAAAACCAGAGAGTGTAAAGCAGTAGAGAGTGTGTGAGTTGAGTGAGAGTGTCTCATCCTTTGTGTAATCTCTATTTGTTTTATTAGAAATCTCCGGTTCTCTATGTGGACGTAGACATTGAGGCCGAACCATGCAAATCTTGTGTCCATTATTGTGTGTTTGATTTCTAGTAGTTTAGGTGGGTTGCCTTAAATTCCAACAATTGGTATCAAAGTTTAGGTTGAGCAAGGAGGCAAAATAAAGGCTCAGATACTTTGTTTTTTCAAAACTGCCAGAAATAAAGTTGCTTGAAATTCACTTTTGTGCATACCAGGAAGAAGGTCTCAACGAGAGGAGTCTAGACCCAGAAACAATAGGTAAAAAGGATGTTCGGTGGCCCACATGCGCCGGTCAAAGTTTGGCGCGTAAAGTCAACTCTAAACCATAGTCCCACTCGCGGCTAGAGGTTGAAGATGGGCATTTTGTATCCAATCCAGATACTTTAAATATTTATCTGGGAAAATATTGTCACAAGGGTGAGTTTGGCTCAATGGTCAAGTGGTTTGGTCTTAACCTCTTGGTCTAGAGTTCAAGTCCCTCAGACAACATTTGTGGAATTGTATATCCTTTTTTGGGTATAGCTGATGTCAGCGCCAACTCACTGCCAAGTCATCAACCAGTCAGCGCCACGTGACCCAGCCACGTCGGCGAATCTACCACATCAGCAGAAAGTTTCAAAAATTACATATTGGCCCCTGGAAGTTTAGCAAATTGTAATCTGGTCCTTGAAGTTTTCAAAAATTACAATTTAGTCACTGAATTTTTGGAAATTTTCATTTTGGCCCCTAAAGAGAAAGGAAGTGTGTTCCTAGGTAAGAACGATGTTCTGGTCGCAACCGTGAGATCAGAATAGTCAAATTCTGAACGGTTCTTTTTGAGGAGATCAAAATGGTAGGAAAAGGTGCAAGTTTCATGATAGAACCTTTCAATGATAATAATGACTTTACCCTATGGTAGCAAAGGGTGAAAAACATTTTAACGCGGGAGGGCTTGGTGAAAGCTCTCAACAAGAAGTCCGACAAACCGGCAGACATTGGTGATGACAAGTGGAAGGAGTTAAGAGCACTGGAAAATAGCATGATCCAGTTATATCTCAAGAATAACACATTCTGAGAAGTCATAAATGAAGAAGATCCGGCAAAGCTATGGACAAAGTTAGAAATGAGGTACAAGTCAAAGTCCTTGACAAATCGGTTATCATTGAAGAAACAGTTGCACGCACTTCAAATGACAGAATGAGTGAACCTTACTAAACATCTGGACGCGTTCAATAGGCTCACGATGGAGTTGGAGTCTACCGGGGTGAAGATCAAAGAAGAAGATAAGGCAATTATCTTGCTAATCTCCTTACCTTCATCATATGAGCATCTCAGGACTACTCTACTGTATGTGAAATGTCACGACCCAAACTCGCCCCTATAGATTTAGCATCGTAACCGGCCAGTAATCATAGGATTACCGAAGGCCTCTGAGATAGATTAACATAATATTAAGGGCTAGCGGAAGCAAATAACAAATATACTACATCCATTGAGTTGTGCAGACTTATATGAGACAGAAAAATTTTAAAATTTTTATATACATATCTGCACATCATCCCTACGTCATCATATATATACAGATTAGACAAAAAGAGACTTAACCCTATTTACAAATAACAAAGACTTGTTTAACCAAACAAGAAAACAAAACTTGTACTTAATCACATAGCCATAACCACTTGACATATCTGGAACCTCCACGAGAAGCACACAGGTTGGCTGACAAGAACAGATTCTAGGCAGACGTCTCTAAGCCTGGTCACGCGCCTGATCACCTACATACATAAATAATATAGTGAGCTAAAGCCCAGTGAATAATAACAAAGTAAAAGGTTTTAATGAATGTTGTCCATAACAGTTACAGAAAAAAGAATTTAGTAGTTAATAGAAATGGATTCATAATCATGTTCAGAAATCAAAGTTCACAACAGAAATAGATTCAGAATCATACTCATAATTAGAATTTGCAGTTAATCATACGTGGTACATCCATTAGCACTAGTAGAAACAGTTGACCCATAAAGGAACGACCATAAAGGCATATAGGTGACTCACATGCACGGAGACGGTACAATTAGCTCATGAGACATACAGTTGACCCATAAAATGGGACATATACATAAGGATCCATAATAGTTGGCTCATGAGACGTACAATGGACCCATAATTGGGACGTAACAGAATAGATAATAGGTGTCATATGAAGCTAATGATGCCACGAATACATTTCAGAAACATTGGACACCATTCATTCATGCAAAAAATAATATTTCAGAAAACAGATCATCTTTTATCATTCAGAAAATATTTATAATTGAACATACCTTTACAAAGTTATTACACACAGATAGCAGCATAAGCAAATCAGACAGATTAGACAGATCAGACAAATCAGGCAGATAATAGCGCGTGACCTACACAAACACATAATATATACACATTGAAACACAATATTACTTCCTTAATCAAACTTGACTTTTCTTTGTTTTCTGTCTAAATAATCCGAAGGTCTACTATGCTTATCCTTTCTTCAATCAAATGAATCGAGTTCTCATTTCACATACCCCTTTCATTACTAAATCATTCTTTTCTGTATAAACCAATTTCTTATTTGGCTTCTTAATCAATTACTATTAAGTTAATGACTTATTCCTTAACCAACTAAGTTATGTTGATTGTTGGCTTATTAATCTTCAATGAGCCATAAATCACGTTTAAAATGCTTGGGAAGAGATGAGAATAAAAATATGAGCTAAATGTAATTTTTCAAATTATGCTGAAAATCATTGTTCGCTCGCTCGAACCTTTAGTCACTTGAGTGGTCTGTAAAAGATGGCAAAAGTATTAGAAGCCTTCAATGTGTGCTCGAGCAGTAGCTAGTCCGCTCGAGCAGTCTGTAAAATTCTAGAATTCTAAATTTCTCAAAAATAGCTTTCCAGTGCATTTTTGATTTTTAAACCCATACTAATCTTGATCAAAACTTTGAAAATACTTTAGAAAACATAAACACTTATTTATAAATTATTTGCTCAAAATATTAAAACACAATATTTAAATCAAAACCCATGAACTCATTATTCTAAAAGTCATTTCAAAATCAAACGCACAATAAAATTGCATATAATTTATGGAGCTTGATTTAATTACAACTTCCAAAATCAAATCCAAAATAATTAATTTCTAATTAAACTTCATAAATTTGATCTTAGCTCCAATTCTTCATTTTTTTGTCAACTTTCCTAACAAACATTGCATGTATGTAATTCAAATAAAACTAACTAATTAAATATATTCCATATCAAGTTTACATTAAATAAAACTCTTAAATTACATTACATGCATGGATTCAAATTTAAAATTACACTAATTCCTATCTTTCATAATAAAATCAAAACCTTGTCTAACTTTAGGATTAACCCCAAATTTCCATAAACTTGATTTTTTTAATTTAATTTTATAATATTCTTCATTCTCTTCAAAACATGAAATTGCATGGCTCAATTCTTAAAAACTTCATTATGCATGTAATTATTTCCATATTGATTAACCTTAAACATGTTCATGAATTAATTCTTTAATTTCTCCAAATTACATGCATGTAACAATAAGATTCAAATTTATATAAGATATTCAAAATCAAACCCAAAATAATTAATTTCTAAATTAATTTCCATAATCAGGAACCTAACTCATTTTCTTGCTAATTTATTTTTGTTTACATAAAATTGACTTCAAACTCTTTTCTATCTTCCTTCAAGACATGAAATTAAAATTATAAACTTCTTAGATAATCATTTGCATGTATGAAATTAAGATCAAAACTAACTATTTTATATTTTCAAATCATACTTTTACTTCTTGAATTGCTCTAATTTAGATTTTTATTACTTTCTTCATATCAATCCTAATTTTAAGCCCATAAACTTTTAAAACATGAATTAAAGTCTAAAATATTAAAAATCCACAATGCATGTAAGGTTAGACTTCAAATTATGAAGGATGACAAAAATAAAAGTCAAACTAATTAATTTCCAAATTTATTTCCATAATCTAAAACTTAACTCCATTTTTCTTCATCTTCTTGCTAATTCCTTTCAATTACATGATTTTGATTCCTATTTCATCTTTAATTTCAAGTGTAATGTAAAGATTCTACAAAAATTAAGTATGATTTCATATCTTAAACTTTAATCTCAAAAAGTTTAGTTGATTCCCTTCTAATTCTCTTGTTCCTCCTAACTTTTCTTCCCTTAGTTTTTCTTCTTCTTGAGCTGAAATTTGCTTCTCTCTCTCTCTCATGGGTTTGCCCAAAACAAATATGAAGCCACACTCTTTTTTTGTTCTCAATCTCCTTCCATCACAATAATGCTTCCAGCCAGTAATAAAATAGAGTTGCCTACTCTATCTCTCCTCATGTATACACACTCCTCTCTTCACAATGCACACGTGCACACTTATTGAAGTCTCCAGCACAACACTCACATGCACGCGCGTGCGTGCGCGCACACACACACAAAAAAAAAATCTGCACACCCAGATTTCTCAACACACACACCCACATATATCCTCCAACTCTAAATCAATCTACAATTTAATTTATGGTTAAGATTAATTTAATTAAATAACACTTATTCATATTAAATCTTGATTAACACATAATTAAAGTAATCATAACTAAT